ATTACGGTTTAATAATTGTATACGTTTTAAAAACCGACGGAAAGTCTATTTGTCACACGGTTCGTCGGCGGCTACCGATGCGGACGAGTAGTACTGAGGCGCGAAGGATGCGGCAGACGAGTAGTACTGAGGCGCAAAGGATGCGGCAGACGAGTAGTACTGAGGCGCGAAAGATGCGGCAGACGGGTAGTATTGAGGAGCGGCTAAAAATTTGGACACGGTTGAATAGTATTGAGGTGCGGTGTAAGACTTGAGGTACGAAGAGGCATATGTCTGCGGGACGTACGAGTACGAAGTGGACACGGTTGGCAGTGGCAAGACACCGGTGGACAACGTCGTGGCGATCGGAGCCGACTGAACGATCTTGGACTCGACTTGCGGGGCGGCGGTGACTGAGGTGTATTGGGTGTGGACCGCGGGCATAGCGTCCAATCCGGAGCTGATGATCGTAGATCCCGTCACTTTCGCGGTTTTGGTTATCGTCCTCAACGCCATCGGAGCCGGAGAAGCGTTTTCCTGTACACTGGCCTGCCACGCGTTGGAGTCAAAAGTCGCGAGCGCTGGACGGAAAGCGCTCAACAGCGGGCTAGTCGCGATCCTGGTCTCCAACTTCATTGGAGCGGCGTTGATGATGCGGGCGGGTTCGATATCAATCGCGGTGCGCAGGATCGGTGCCGGAGAGGACACGGAGACCGTGGAAAGGATCGGCGATGGGGTTATGGACATGATGCTAGCGGGTTCGATCTCGACCGCGGAGCGCATGACCGCCGGCGCTGCAGTCGAACCGGTTACCATGTAACTGGACGTCAGAGGGTCACAGTCTTTGATTAACCCCAGTGCAGGTGCGTCCAGCTCGACRGTTCCTAGATCGTTGGCGCTGTACCCGAACTTGTACGACGTCGGGACGGCCGAAGCCAAAGAGTCGTGCAACACGCAGCCAACAGCAGACATACCTGAAACACAGTCACACAGACAATGCGTCAGAGCTGAATTTGAAAAAATCATTTGAGTCACAGTAAAAGAACGTAAAAATGGAATATMTACTAAAAAATTATGTCCCGAACAGCGGCGTGTCCAGCACAAAATAATTTGTTGACAGTTTTGGCTGTTGTCTTTTTTGTAACATGGTTTATTCAGAGTAGTATACTGGGAAATATGACTTCAGTCTTAATTCTTTATTGACTTTTAAAAGATAACAACTTAAAAATTAAAATTAAAAAAAAAAAATCATATTAATTTATACAGTAAAGGACATTTACTKTCTAGCTTATTTAATATTTATAATAACATTTTTACTTATGATAAAAAGAAAAGTCAAAAATAATCAGGCCCGGCCCTAATCGGCCTTCCCCGTAAATACACCATAGCTCGAGCTATTCAGGATCCTGAAGATTTAATGACTAGAAATATAATAAAATTGTATAATTTGATAAAAACTCAATGATGATTACGCTGAATATAAAATAATTAAACCTCGTGCAAGTGTATTGGTATTTATGGGTGGACTGGGAGAGCCTAAGTCCAACACCAGTTAACATAATTGATTGCTTCCCTTCAATATATTATTATAATATAATTTTATGAATACTTCGTGGTTTAAATATATGAACCACAAAATCAGCTCGACGATTTAAAGTTTTTAAACATCAGAAAAAATGCATTCATTTAAACTAGATAATAGTTTATAAATGTTTTTTATAGTTATATTGATATTGATTGAAAATTATTAATTGAAGCTTATCTTATATATTTTTTTCCATTCTATAAATGTATATCTATGTTTACCCGTCACGTATATACGATTACAGTTACAAAATTAATTCAAAGTCGTTTTAAATCTAATTAGGTACTGAAATATACTCAAGAACAATAATGGTCATCACTTACTTGGATACAATTCATTGCTGATATCTTTGCTTGTCGTCGTGTCGTTTACTGTTGAATAACTAATTATATTATTGAATAGATATAATCATATAATATTATGTATTGCGCTGTTTGAGTATTATTATTATTTGATTTGTGCGTTGGCGGGCTGCGAGACACTAAACTCAGACTATGCTCAGGGAGACAATTGCAGCCATTTATATACCTACCACCGAAGAACCCCCAGATGAAGATGTTTTACTGGAGACTTCGAAAACATGAATACGACCTTGTTCCCTTCTTGACGACATCTGACAAGTGAAACTGCAACAACACCGGTTGACATTGGTTGCATAATGACCAAGAGCGGTTGGTGTTAAGCGTTGTCTTAATATTGATGTCCGGCAGGCCTCAGGGATGCACAAAAACAACGATATAATTATTATTCTTAAACTCCATTAAAAGCGACATCAAATGTACACTGTTACATTATTTTCATGTTGACGTGATATTATAATATTATATTTTGGAAAACATTTCGGCAGAAATCCATAAAAACTTATTTTGTGATAGTATATACAAAGTGTTCAATAAGTGTTCGGTTGAGAAATAAAATAAGTATTTCATTTCAATAATATATTTTGTTGAAATCTCTGACGTAAAAAAGTATYTCGAATTATACAAAAATAAATTAATTTATGACTTTTTTAATCACAATATTTTATTT